CTCAACTACACTAACTTCCTAGTTCATGGGAGGGGAACCTGACTTCTAGGTTCTCAAGTGCAGCCCTTTGACTCATGAAATTTGGATTCAGTCAAAGAGCCTCACTTGTGACTTCAAGGCCACAGGTTCCCTACCCCTGTACTAGTTCCTAAATTACCAGGACCTATTCCCTCCCCATCAGCCCTACACAGATGGTCATACCCTTGACCTTTTCTGAAGCCACAAGTGCTCCACTTACAAGTTAATGAACTAAAATGTTTATACCTGATCAAAATCTTTCATTGTTCCATCTTTCCCTGTGCCTTATGATCCCTAACCCTATTCTTTATTCTCACTGAGACCTCCATTGCCTCCACTCTCCAGTTCTTCCCCAAGTCATCACCTCAGCACTATCTACACTTTTTGCCTTTCAATATCCTGACCTCTTGGTGAATCAGTTTAACTCTTTTCCATCTTCTACACTCAAATCCCTTTATATCCATATCAGATGGACAATAACACCTTGCCAAACCCTAACTGCAAATTATTCTTAACTTGTATGAATTTGCTGCTGAGTGGAGTCAGAGAAAACAAACAAAAAGCCACCATATTGATTGGGTCCGCTACAAATTATGTTCCATAATTTCAACTGCACCCTCACTGCATTGAGTCAGTTTTTTAACACATCCCTAATTGATTCACTATACAACTCACCACAGCTGCTATTACAAACCTTTTCATCCCTTTCTCAAGCCTCCCCGTGGTAACACCTCTTCCTCTCAGGCTTCTCCCTCGACAAATAAAATTAAGCCCCCATTCTCCCCTCTGCCAAATCTCACAAAACCCCTATCTGTTCCTTCCCCTTTATCTCTTTGCTCCCATCCTGTCTCCAATAGATTGTCCCTAATATCATCCCCACTCTCTTGATCTTTCATCTCTCCTTTTCTAATGGTTCCTTTCTGCTGCCTACAAACATACATTATCCCCCATCCTTTAAAAAATCCTCACTTTATTCTACCTTCCCCACTAACTATTGTCCTATATCTCTTTTCACCTCTGCAGCTAAATGAGAAAGCTATCTTATTCAGTTGCTCCACTTTCTCCTCTCTTTCTTTTTCCCTCTCTCTCCAATCCTCTGCAATATAGCTTCTGACCTCATCATTCAATTTCATCTACTCTTTCCAAAGTTACCAATGCTCATTTCCTTTTTCCAATCCTCTACATCCTTAAGCTCTATGTAGCACTTGACCTTGTTGATCACCTTCCTCTCCTAGATACTGTCCCCTGGTTCTCCCCCACCCCACAACTCTTTCATTCAGGCCATGCCAACTTACTGCAGGGGTTTCTCAATGCTCTAACCTGGGCCCTCTTCTCTTTGCCCTCTATACTACCTCACTTGACTGTCTCATTACCTCCATGGGTTCAATTATGTCAATGCAGATGATTCCCTGATCCACATATCCAGACTTAGTCTGTCTCCTGAGCTCCAGTCTTATTTCATCAGTTCCTTTTGGACATCTTAACTGGATCCCCAGTAGTTATTCTAAACTTACTATGTTCAAAACACAATTCATTGTTTTCCCACTAAAATCTTCCCTTTTCACCTTTCCACTTATCATTGCCAGCACCCTTCTCCCAGTCACTCAGGTTTGAAATTTCAGTGTCACCCTGAACTCCTGAATCTCATATACGTGACAAGTCCTATCTGCTGTCAAATCTTGTCATTTCTACCTTCATATCATTTCTCATTTCTATCCCCTTCACGCCACTCTCAAAACCACTACCCTAGTACATAGACCCTCATCACCTCTTGCCTAGACTACTGTAACAGTCTTTTAACTCATCCGCCTTCCTTAAACCTCTTCCCCCTTCAATCCATCAATGTCCTCAGCTCTCAAAGCTATTTTCCTAAAGCACATCTGAATATTTCACCTCTCCTCCCCAATCAATGAACTGAAGTGGCTATTATCTCTAGGGCTAAATGTAAAATCTTCTGTTTGGCACTTAAAGCCCTTCACAACTTGGCCCCTTCCTAGATTTCCAGTCTTCTTATATTTTACTCCCCCAAAATTACATAAAAATTACATTAGGGTCACGAATCTTCTGGGTCTATTCCTGAAGTTTCACTGACATGGTCAGCAGTATTCCTCGAAAAAGGCTCTAAGTAGCATTGGGTATAAACTTAGCCGTTTACTAATCAATATGATAGCTAATGAGCAGGATCAGAGGTTAAATATTAAAAAAATAAACAAATCATGGCAAAAAACACTTCTTCATATTGACTAGTGTCTGAAATATAAAATATTTCATATGAAATATGTAATGAAAATAAGGGCAAAAATGAGCTATATTATCACTTTTTTCAAACCATTTAACCACTAGCAACAAAAACAGTTGAAATGCAGGGCAGTCATAGCTGACCCAGCACTAAGGCTCAGGTGTAATCACAATGAACTTGACAGCCAGAGAACAAACCTAGGGGTACACAGTAACCTCAGGAAAGTCCCTTTGTTAGCTCCCATGTCTTCCTTGGGAAGAATGGCATCTAGGGTTGCCTTGGAACTTATAAACTGCTAAGATGTAGCATAGAGGCAGCAAGGTGGCAGGCACAGAGAATAGAATGCCAGGTCTGGAGTCAGGAAGACCAGAGTTCAAATCCAGCCTCAGACACTTACTAGCTGTGTGACCCTGGGCAAGTCAATTAACCTTGTTTGCCTGTTCCCTCATCTGTAAAAATGAGCTGGAGAAGGCAAGGGCAAACCACTCCAGTATCTTTGCTAAGAAAACTCCAAAAAGAGGTCATTAAGAGTCAGGCAAGACTGAAACAACTGAACAACAACAAAAGATGTAACATCACCCACCACATGGACCAGATTTTGCATGTGTGTATGTGTGTGTGTGTGTGTGTGTGTGTGTGTGTGTGTGTGTGTATATCTTTATATTGCATTTATATATAGTTTGTTTGTATATGTTATTTGCATGTAGTCTTCCCCCATTAAACCGCGAGGGTCTGTCTGGTTTTTGTTTGTATTTCCGGTGCTTGGCCCAGTACCTGGCACATAGTAAATGCTCAATAAATGCTAGTTAACTATGTCTGACTGACTGCAAAGACTAAGACCTCAATCTAAACAAGTGCATTTATTTACATGCAAATAACATCTACAAACAAGCTATATTCAGGATAAATTGGGAGTAGTCTCGGAGAGAAGGCACTAAAACTAAGTAAGAAAGACTTCTTGCATAAAATGAGACTTTAGCTGAGACTTGAAGAAAGCCAGAGAAATCAGGAGGAGGAGATCTGAGTAGGGGAGGACAGCCAGTAAAAATCCTCAGAACTGAGAGCTGTAATTTGATATTCAAGGAACAGCAAGGAGGCTGGTGTCATGGGACTGCAGAATAGGGCAATGAATTCTGGAATTTCTGATCTTCATTCTCCCATATTCTGTCACTCTCTCAGTCTGCGATTACTTGGCTTATTGTCTTTTGGGCTGTTATCTTTATGGCTTGGTTTCTCTTCCTTCATTGATGCCTTTGCTAGGCCTCTGGTATCCCCAAGGTCAGGGTGGTAGTACCAGTCCTAAAGTCATTTAAGTGGCAGAAGATCCCCTAGAACAGAGGCATCAAAATACCAGCAAAGCTTGAGAGACCTGCGAACCAGATTAAAATGGAATTGGGAAAAGTTTAACAAAATCAACAAAAATGTGATACGACATAGTATACTGCAGGATCAGTTTCTAATTGAGTTTGACACCACTACTCTACAAGACCTCTAAAAGTCTGCATGAGGGTGGGGAAAAGTAACAGGGATGACCACCAGCATCCCAGGTATGTGGGCTGGGCTAGTTATTTTCCTTAAAAGTTACTGAAATTATTTTTGAGACTGATTTAACCAGGGAACCAAAGGCTGCTAACATCAGTCCTTGGTCTCTAAGAGAACAACCAGGAAGAGCACAGATCCCTCCTTGATCTTTGTCCTGGGCAACAACTCAGAGAGAGGGGAGCTATCTGTACCTGAATCACAGTGTCCTTGCTAAATATCCCTCCCCTGTCATGGCTAAGTAAATCTTCTTTGTGAATTGTTCAATAGACTAGGAGTGCCTCATTTTATTCCAATCTCAAACTGAAAATATTAGGGCTTCTGTCAGTCTTGGCCTACAATATAGACATATAAAGCAATGACTGACGTTTCCTGTATAACCTACAAACTGCCTCTGAAGGCAATTCTAAACAGATTTTTCAAGCGTTCTAAGTGTTTTGAGCACACAGGAAAAAATCTGAACTTAATGAGTGTAAGCCTTAGCCACAGCAGAGGATTAAATAGCTGAACTGGGAATAATGATATCATATAGCTATTTAAGGTTTGCAAAGTGCTTTACATGAATTAGTCATTTATTGGCCTGGGTCCTCCCTATCTTGCCCAGGCAGGAAGTCCAGCAGACATTTGAGCCCAACCTTACTCCTGATCAACAGGGAAGCTTTGACCCACTCTGTGTTCACTCCTCTTATGCAGCCTGGCCCCTCCCCATACAACATCCTAAGGGCCCACCATATTGGTGCCAGACAGTGCAAAAGACACCTTATTGGCTTTAGACCAACTGTATGCAGAACTTCCTAACTCAAGTGATCCATCACCCCCAGCCTCCCCTAGTAGCATGGATTACACACACACACACACACACACACACACACACACACACACACACACA